ACTAAGAAACAAGGCCTCTACGCACATTTGCTCAAAAGCCCCCCTTGAGAGATGGCCGATGATACCAAATCAATTCGTAGTCCAAAGACGCGGTTGTGGACCTCCTACAATGGTCTGCGTTTAAGCAAACTAACCCTCGAAACATCCTATCTTTACCACGGCTTTAGGTCCAGGACAGAAGGCACCCGGACGCAGGCACGTGGCGCGATAGCGCGCGGGCATGGGGCGGTGACGACCTGAGGCCATCCTAGCCCTTGGGCCCGCCCGACAGATGGGAGCCGATGATCACCTAGACGCAAACATGAAGCAGTGGGCGACGAACGGAGACGCGGTCCAGAGCTCCCTCCACGGCGGTGGACCTCCTACAATGGCGACGGCCATATTCCTGTGAGCCAAGGCACAAACGACGTGAACTAACCAAAGAATGGGCATCGTCTAGCCAAACTCACTATATAACCTAGCACCCCGACTTGGTGGCTAGCTTTACCTAGGAGAGGTCACACAAACCTATGCCACTAGTACGGTGAGTACACATGCTAGTAAGCAAAAGCACAAAGCTAAGCTCACTAGCAATGACAAGGCAACCAATGCCTAAGGTTAGAGAGCCAAATACTTAGCTACGGACGGCAATGGCAGCGACCATGTCTAATTGGTGCTTAAGATATATATATATAAGTGCAAGGTAATGGGGATACAAACCAACGGGAAGAACAAGGTTGACACGATGATTTTTCTCCCAAGGCGTGTTTGCCAACACGCTATGGTCGCGCGCATGGGGTGAAGGCTAATTAGGCATCACCCGCTAAGCCCCACGGGTCAAACCGCAAGAACTACCCCTTGGTGAGGGTAGCTCCTAAAGTTGCTCTTGGCGACTCTTGAAGGGGCACACAAGTGCCCCTCTCACAAGCACTTCTCCATAGGGCTCGGGAGGAACAGACGGGTAGTGCCCATGGCAACGGTGTCTAAGTCTTTAATGGCGCGACGATCACCTAGTGACGCTCGATTCGGCTCCAAATTGAAGCTTGCCAAGGCATGATGTGAGTATGTGTGTGATGGAGGGCTCCCAAGCACTCACAAGCATGGACACTAAGTCCCTTGAGGTGCTCGGCACCAGCCATAGCTAGGGACTTGAATTTATAGCCCCAAGTCTAAAGCCTATTACCCCTTGAATTGAATGGACACGACCTATCCATGCCGAATTGGACTTGACCGGACGACGCAACTTTGGCGAGTCCCGCCGACCGACCAGCGTCGTCGGTCACATCTGATCGGACGCAGAGGAGGAGGGAAAAGAAAGGAATGGGGGAGATCCGCCGTCCGGTCTTGCTCGAGCATTGGTGGGACATGACACCCTGCAAACACCACCTCCGTGCCAACACCACCAAGTGTATGTGTGAGCAATCATTGCGGGCTCAACTTGCCACGCGCGATCCTAGCGACAAGAAGGGGCATGCTAGATGACCGATATGCAAACAAGTTTGCCCCTCTTCATAGGGAGTGGCATAAAAGCAATGACCGTGAAATGGCCCGTGGCGCCATGAATGGCTTCAATGACAAGCGGTGTAATGTCATGCACCAACACGATCAACAATGATATGATCCACTTCATGCACTAAATCAATTGGCATCGATCTGACGCAGAGTGTCTATCGGGCGAACGCGACGGTGATAGCGCGGCATCAGCAAGCCTTTGACTTACCCTTCACGCTTTGACCGGTCCATCAAGCCAAGTCTTGTCTTGATCTTCTCCACCTGGCACATGACTCAATGTCATGTCTCATGTGCAATAAGCTCCTTCATCATGGCACGAGCGATGGCATCTCCAAGCCAGGGTGGCATATGTTGCGACACATGTACCGTGGACCATCCATAAAGCAATTAGTCCTCGTGCATTACCAAAACAACAAGGATGGCGTAGCAATGGTGATCGAGCATTGGCGGGACGTGACGACCGTGCGAGCAATCATTGCAGCCCGACGATGCTAATCGGAGTAGAGCAAAGGTGGCCGTGGCGCCATAGAAGCGATGGCCTCGGGACATGGGCAGCCACAAGAGCGCCAACGCCTGACGATGGTGATAGTGCGGCACAGCAGTGATGGGACGGCGGTGGCTCAGTGGCATAGGACATGGCACAACGCGCGGCGAAACAATGGGAGCGGAGGACCGATAAGCATCCGCTCGTGGCGTAGCATGGTGATGCGGACCGGTAGCGACGGTGCCAATCGGAGTAGAGCTGGCACGGAGGGACATGGGCAGCCACAAGAGCCGATGGCGATGTCGTGGCGCTGCACAACGCAGAAGATGGGGAGGAGTAGTCATGCGTGCGGAGCGGCCACCGGAGACATGGTGACGGCATGACACACAGCTTGGCCAACGCCGATGAGGAGGACATGGTGACCACGTCAACGCGAGGAACTCGGCCCAAAACATGCTATGCACGCTTTTTAAAGCATCCCAAAAACCTAATTTGATGCTTCAATTGCTAAACCACCTATTCTATACTCGAGAGGGCATGTTAGGCTCGTCAAAACAAGCCCTAATACCCCATTACTTCTTAACCCGATTACTCTACAAAAATTGCCAAACTTAGCCTCGTCAAACCCTTTTCCGACTTAAGAAATTTGACCAAGTCTTGATCGGTTTCGCGTCAATTTCAATTTTCAACCTATTAGATCAGTTAGCTAGTGACTTCATTATTCGACCGCAGGTATTTCATCGTCATCTACAAGACTTGTACTACAAACTTTATTAAAGTTTCGTATACACTTTTTATAGTGTTTTCGCTTAATAAAAATTGATTTAAAACCCTAGGTGATATAACTTGACTATGAAATGTAACTTTCGTTTCACGTTTCTGATGATCGTTTCAAGTTACAGAAATTGATTTACACACTATATCACATGCATTAATACATAACCATGATGCTGATGACATGTTTTAGCAAAAAATTTATAATGTAACACCGAGGGTGTTACACTACTACATCAATCTAACCGAGGCGAGCAAAAAGCATTAGGCCTTTAACGGAGGCAGTTGGCCACTCTCCTCGGTTAATCAAATAAAAAAATAAAAAATAAGAAAGCCCATGGACAAGCCTAGCGAGCCCATCCATGCGTCGCCGTCGCCGTAGCTGCTTGCCGGTGCCTGCATCCTCGCCGGACCACACGCACCACCGGGATCCGCCCGCCCACAACCGGATCAAGCCTCCCTCTAGCGGAGACGCCAGATCCACTGCGTCCTCGCCGGGGACGCAGGTCGAAGATGCTAGATCCGCTGCGACCAAGCCGGCGCCCCACGCTGGGGCTCCTTCGCGCAGCCCATCCACAATCGTCGGATTCGGGAGAGGGAGAGGAGAGGGTCATTGGTGGGGGAGAGGGATAGGAGAGGGTTGTTGGATCCACGCCGCGCTGCCCTGGATGGCCCCGAGATCCACGTCGCCACGACCGGGCGAGGCCGCCCGCTCCACCCTAGTCGGCCACCCACGCGCACGCCGCCCTGGGGAGAGAGAGAGAGGGAGGAGTGAGAGAGGCGAGGAGTGAGGAAGGCGGATGAGGGAGTGAGGGGAGAGGAGACCGATGCTACGGGAGAGGAGACCGACGCCTCGGTCTCTGGTGTATGTGGGGGTGAGGGAGAGAGTTGAGTGATTTAGGGTTTGTGTTCGCTTTTACTGGAGGTGGTAGTGGGCTGGTGTGGACTAGTGTAGGTTGGGTGCTGGGCCTGATTTACCACGACGGTTGAGTTAGAAAGTCCACCTCGGTTAATGATTTATCGAGGTGGTTGCCTTAAGATGCCCGCCTGCTAGGTTGCCTGCCTCGGTTAAGAATTAACCGAGGCTGTTGTTGGGCCGGCCGCCCGGCCACGAATAACCGAGGTGGACAACCGGCCCAACCGTCTCGGAGGCCAATTTGGAAACGCCTCGCAAAAGATTTTGTGTAGTAGTGGGGTTGGGGGTGGCACCGGATCCTGTCCCATGAGACTCGGAGATCCGACGCTCTTGGCTCACTGGTGGCCATCCTTGGTGTCGAGGATTTCACAGTTTGGAAGAACAAGAGAAGGGGAGGAGGAGGTGCTACGAGAGGCCTTTTTGAGCTCCGCGGCGGCGGTGGCGGGGAGCAACGTGGCGCGGGGTCCCGGCGATGGCGGCTAGGTTGCTCCCCGAGTCACCTGGTAGGATGAGGAAACAGTGAACCTCTTTTCGACTCTTTGCTGGTCATATACTCGTATGTGCATGCAGTGTCACCTGCTAGTACTTGTTCATGAGACCATCAGCCTGTTCGCTGGTTTGATAAGCCGTTTGTGCCGGTTTGTACGGTTGATTTATTATGAGAGAAAAACACTATACTATGACTGATAAGCGCCTAACTAAAACCAACGAGCGGACATGCTGCATGATTGATCTCAGTCTCAGAGATCGAGCACGAGATCGGCCTGTAGCTGAAGCAGTGCGTAGGCCTTATCTGACGAGCACGCTGAGCTGTGAGCTTGCCCAACTAGTCAAAGATGATTTTTTTGCTACGGCCAAAATTGGAAGAGGGAAATGCAAGGGTAAGGTACGAGCGAACCGCAGCCAAGATGGTGCACTCCACTCGTTCTGGGCGCTGCGCTGCCCGCTGGCGAGACGATGGCTAGTCATACGTGGACACACAAGCGCCGAACCCCGCGAAAAAATAACTAACGTTGTTGAGACTTAAGATGACCAAGCATTGCACAAAATTTGAATGAAGAAAAAAAAACATCCCATTTTGGGCTGGAAAATGTGCTGCAGGCTGCAGCCTGCAGGGGGGTGGCTGTCGGGCGTGTACCCCCTCCTTCCACATGCATCTCCCTCATCACCTCTAACCATACCTACCCCCTCCATCGCGCGCGCGAGCTCCCCCGCCTACCTCCGGTCCCTGCTGCCTGTTGCTGTATTTATTTCCGCCTCCGTCTCTTCTCAGCCTCAACAGCACCACTGCCGTGTAGCTAAGCCCGTGCGCTGGTACGCAATTTGGCAGAGGAAATGATCACGGTGGCAGCACCGGAGGCGCAGCCGCAGGTGGCGGGGGCCGTGGCGCCCGCGGCGCCGGAGGAGACCGTGTTCCGGTCGAAGCTGCCGGACATCGACATACCCAGCCACCTGCCCCTCCACGACTACTGCTTCGCGAGGGCGGCGGAGGTCGCGGACGCGCCGTGCCTCATCGCGGCGGCCACGCGGAGGACCTACACGTACGCCGAGACGCGCCTCCTGTGCCGCAAGGCCGCGGCGTCTCTCCACGGGCTCGGCGTCGGCCAGGGCGACCGCGTCATGATCCTGCTCCAGAACTCCGTCGAGTTCGTGCTCACCTTCTTCGGCGCGTCGTTCCTCGGCGCCGTCACCACGGCCGCCAACCCGTTCTGCACGCCGCTGGAGATCCACAAGCAGTTCAGGGCCTCCGGCGCGAAGCTCATCGTCACCCAGTCCGCCTACGTCGCCAAGCTCCGGCACGAGGCCTTCCCGAGGATCGGCACGGCGAGCGACGGCGGCGGCGAGGACGACAATGCCCTCACCGTCCTCACCATCGACGACGCGGCCAACACCCCGGAAGGCTGCCTGGCGTTCTGGGAGCTGGTCACGCCCGCCGACGACGCCGCGCTCCCGGAGGTGACCATCGCCCCCGATGACCCCGTGGCGCTGCCGTTCTCGTCGGGCACCACGGGGCTGCCCAAGGGGGTGGTGCTGACCCACGGCGGGCAGGTGTCCAACGTGGCGCAGCAGGTGGACGGCGCGAACCCGAACCTGTACATGCGGGAGGGCGACGTCGCGCTCTGCGTGCTGCCGCTGTTCCACATCTTCTCGCTCAACTCGGTGCTGCTGTGCGCGCTGCGCGCCGGCGCGGCGGTGATGCTGATGCCCAAGTTCGAGATGGGCGCGATGCTGGAGGACATCCAGCGGTGGCGCGTCACGGTGGCCGCCGTCGTGCCGCCGCTGGTGCTCGCCCTGGCAAAGAACCCCGCGCTGGAGAAGTACGACCTCAGCTCCATCCGGATCGTGCTCTCCGGCGCCGCGCCGCTTGGCAAGGAGCTCGTCGACGCGCTCGGCGCCCGCGTGCCACAGGCCGTCTTCGGACAGGTCAGTGTCTACTGTCTACTGTTCTGTTCCCTGTTTCACCGCTACCTTGCCAAGTAGACATTCTCAGTTGTTTCGAAAAGAAAAAAAAAACTGTGAGGCATTATTTGAATCAGCTAATTTTAGCATGCTAGTAATTCTTATCATTGATAGCATCTTCCACCTTGTTAATTTTTACTGGTAGGTAACACACCTAATTCTCACTCTATCCACCCGTAAATAAAACATGACATCCTAGTGTTTAAATTTTGCCTAAAAAACTTGTTATTGTACTTACCCACTTGACATTCAATGTGCCATCCACAGTTACTTTAACAAAACACTAATTAGGCCTAGAGATGGCAGCTAATCTGCATGCCTAAATGAGGTGAGCGCATACATATGCTCGCTGCAGCATCTCTAGTTCATGCTACAGTAGTTCATAGTTATGGAGCCGCAGTCACAGCAGAAGCTGCAGCGGCAGCCAGATTAATCAATACTTTAGGTGAAACATCTTTAATAAATAGGGTTACCGGTGTCATTTCAATTCTATATTAATCTGTCTGAAAAAAATTAGAATGTCAAGTTTTATGAAATGAGGCAGACATGTGTATAGTTTCTAACTATATCAAGCTTGATCCAAACAAACATTCTATTGTTCAGTCTATAACGGTATAACTGTACAGACAGGCACTAACCTACATCCAGAAATATTATACTCCATCTGTTCCTTTTTTAAGTGTAGATATGATATCTGTGCTGGTTAGATTTTCTTAAGTTTGATTAGTTAGGTTTATAATTATTAATATTTGTATTTTCAAATAAATTTATTATAAAAATATATTCAATAATTTATCTAATAATATTGATTATATACTATAAATACTAATATTTTTGTATATATATTTGATCTAAGTTGAGCCGTTTGATTCTTTGGTAAGTAAAAATAACAATTAAAAAAAGGAAGGGAGGGAGCAGGTACAATCACGTGATGGCACCCTTTTCGACTCCGACTGGGTGATCTACCTGAATCGCACCTGTGCTGTGTCGTTATAGGTGTTGCCCATCTGTGCGTACTATGCAGCGTGCAACACGAGCAATATTTTAAAGGCGGTAAGACAGAGGCGAGGCGAGCGACCCCTTTCAGCCATCAGATGAATAAGGCGTTCGTCTAGACAATGCCATATAGACAATTTAATATATAATACCAATAAAAATTAGATATCAATCCAACCTTAATATAGTCAATTATAAACATAATATGTAGTGCTATTAGAGTTCTAGGGCACCACATAAAGTAGAAAGTAGCAAATATGAAATGTTTCATCTCTTAGTAGCCATAAACTAGTCTCTAATGGCATATATAACTTATTTAGTAGTGCTGCTAGTGCAGCACATACTTAATTAGTAGTGCTGCTAGTGCAGCACATATATTAGCTTATAAAAGAGGAAATCTTTAATCTCTAATCTCTCAAGTCTCAGTAGCCATCATCAAACTCTCATTTAACGTTGGCTGCCTCATTGTCTTCTTCAATTTCATTGGCATCATTTGGATCATCCTCACAATCTATCAATCTGCATCATTAAATGGATCTGGATTTTCTTCACTGTCTGCACCCAACTCAGCTTCATCCACCATAGGTGCAGAATTTCTTGCACGCCTGTGGGCTGCTCTTGGAAAGTTCCGGCCTTGAAGTGATTGTGATGCTCCAACAGCTTCATCAACAAGGTTCCAAGTAAGGGCACACTCGCACCCACAAGCACCTTGAGGGGTACATGCAATGAGTCAGCCCACTCATTGTTCCAATCAAAGTCCTCAATAACCAAAGGATCAAAGTTTTTTTCCCTTGTTCTGGCGTAACTTTTGGAACCTAGATTTCATCTTCCGGTTGTAGGAAACAAAGACAATAGAATTTAGCCTCTTATGCAACAATCGGTTCCTTTTTTGTGTGTGGATCTACAAAACCAGAAACACAATTGCAACAAAAAATAAATAAACTGCTTGCTAAAATATTGGTAAGGGTAGCAAGCAAATGAGGAAATACTCAAATTCAAATTTGCTTCAATTTCGCTCACAGCCAGATGATGAAGCACAAAGACTAACCACACGCCTTGCAAACTTTTGTAGCTCAATAGCACGGCCACCATAGGAACTCCACCAATCAACTAGAGCAAACAAATGAAACAATATGTTAGGAGCTAGGACCAAAAAATGCTAGCTGGAATCAAATTGATGTGATGTACACTTGTTGAAATTAAAATGGAAATGAAACACTTACGAGGACTCCAAAATATCTTGAATTCCGACAAGTTCCCTATATCTTCTAACATGAGATCCAAGCAATGCGCAACACATGGACTCCAAAAATTGTAGGAATCCTGTCCATGAGAATCTTGCCTACAGCCTTAAAGTTAGCACCATTATTTGTGACAACTTGAACAACCTTGTCCTTCCCAATCTCCTCAACCTTCTTCTCTAGCAAACCAGCAAGCATGTATGCATCATGTACTTCACTTGATGCATCAATAGACTCCAAGAAGTAAGTCTCCTCCGGGTTGTTTACAAGGAAGTTAATTAAGTGGCGTCCCCTCCTATCAGACCATTCATCAGACATGAGTGTGCAGCCATAATGTTTCCATGCTCTCTCATGGTACTTGTTGACTTCACAGCTTCTTGAAGTAATGGATCCCCAAGTTGATATGGTGTTGGAGGCTTATACTCTGAACCATATTGTGCTGTGGCCTCAAATGCAATCTGAAATTGCTTTGCTGCTGCTGCATTAAAAGGTATGCCACATTCATAGAAGAACAAGGCCCATTGTGTATCCACGTAATGCTTCTCTTCCTTGGTTTTTATACTAGACACAATTGTGGGCTGATAAGACCCTGAAAGTCTCTCATCTACTATCTCTTCTAGTGTTTTTCGAAGCATCTCAACTATAGATTTGTTTGTCTTTCCCTCTGGTTTAGTCTTGTTGCCAACACCCATGAATTGTAAGGATGCTTGCCGTTTTTTTGTTGTTGTCCCTGAACTAGGCTGTACCGCAGCAGCAGCCTCATTTTTTGCCACCTCCACCACCTCATCATCTAGAACCAATGGTCTTTTCCTCTTGTTTGCATCCAAGTAAGCTGCCATCTCCCTCCTAACTTCAATATTCACACCTGAACATAGTTTTGCATCTCCATAACCTCCTGTCAAATGTTGCTTCAATCTTTTAATCCCTCCACGAACTGAGCCGCCACATAAGGTGCATGCCACCTCATCTTTGTTTTGTAGGTTCGGCCAATAGCCAAACCTCCACGCTGGATCTTTTGACCTTTGCGGCTTTCGGGCTGGATCATTCTTGGGATCATATCCGCTCATGATTGATTCTGGACTTGACATGGTCCTGCTGCATAATTTTTATAAACCAAATGAGTTCAGAGTTCAGACTTCAGAGAATGGCAAAGTGTAGGAATCAGTAAACTACCAATTTAATTTTCTACTAGCAGTCTAGCACAGAGCACAAACAGAGCAGCAACAGCTAAAACAGAGCACACAGCAAGAGCATCCTCCAACCTAATAAACAAATCAAATTAGCATAAAAACAGTGCAATTAGCATATAAAACAGAGCAGCAGCAACTAATGTACTGCTCCATTTAGCATCTATGAATCAAAGCACAAGGAGACGAAGCAACAACTGTACCCATGTGCTATCTGCTCTGAGTAGGGGACAGCCGCATGCAAGCTTCAACCTTTCTAAAAGCAAACAAAGCAGGGGATAGCAGCACACGCCACATACAAGCTTTGGACCTTTTTAAGAGAATCAGAGAGCGAGAGAGAGAGAGAGAGGCGAGGGATACCTGGTCCTGTGGAGGGCTGGCCTGAAGGCTGAGCGGAGCTGGGCACCGTGAAGCCATCCTGGGTCCGCAGAAAAAGTTGGTTGTCCTGGCCCTCCTGGTCCGTGCGGACGGACGCACGGGTCCGCACAGAGGAAGCGGAAGACGGGCAAGCGGACGCGCGTGGGAGGACTCACGGCTCTGAGCGGACTTCCGAGCGGACGCGCGCGAGAGGACGAGCAGGACCTGGCCACGAGTGGTGAAGAAACTCCAGTAGGGTCTGCCTCTCCCTCTCTCTTCTCAATCCCCTATCTCTCACATTCCCTCTCTATTCCCGCGCAATTTCCTCTACGCGCGCGCAGGAAACGACGGAAGGTGGGAGAAGTCCCGCGGGAGCGATTTCCCGCCCTGGGTCCCTTCCCTTTCCCGCGCGCGGCTGCTCACGAGTATGACGACCGCCTCGGGCCGGTTGGCGATGCCCCATACGCCTAACGCGAAAGGCGGACGCCTTAGACGCCGAGGCGGCGCCTACGGCTAGCCAGGTGACTCCCGACGCCTAGACATTTTCGTCGTCTGGATGTCTAGTCGTCGCCTAGGCGACGTTGAACACGAGTGTTGGTCTGTTGGATGCTTGCTCGATGGAGAGTTGGAGACGCGCAAGTAGTGCAACGGTGCAAGCCGTGACAATCGCTCACTTTCTATCGAGTCATGTCAAGGATTAAACACCGAGCGCGCGTACATGGTTAACGCCCACGCCTGCTAGGAACATGTGGCTTTTCTGTCAGTTATATAACGGCAAAGTGCTTGCCGACGCCTGCACGTCCGAGTCGCAAGTCGCGACAATGGACAGAAAGATGGGGAAAAAAAATTCTACGCGGCGGTGGCGCACGAGAGCACGCGGTGCGACACCGCCAGGAATACATGCGCCAAGCAGTTTTTCCACCCCACGTGCTAATGAGTGGGCCCACGTGGTAATGAGCGTCCCCACAGCGCAGACGTTCCGCAGAGCCAGAAAACGGTGCTGTACGACCGGTGCTGTGCGATCCGACGACCGGTGTCTGATTGGCGATCGCAACGCGTCGCCCGTCCTGGGTTCCCGGAAACCGTCAGCAGCCCGTCACCACGCCTGACTGCTTGAGCCTCTCGTTCCACCTACCACTACATTACCCAGCTTGGGCGGGTGGCCTCCGGGCTCCGGCCTCTGGGCTGGTGTTTGGTTCAGATGTACTAAAATTTTAGCAGCTACTAGACAGTTTAGTTATTTTTAATAACTTCAAAGTTATTAGAGAGGACTAAAACTTGTTTAGTAGCTTTTAGTCATAACGTTTAGTTAAAAAGTTACTAAAATAACTAGAAACTACTGAATTTAGTAGCGGCTAGACGAACCAAACAGGCCATGCACGCCTCCAAACCGCTCTGTTTCACCGTGATTTTGGACGAACCGGGCGCGTCAGGGTCACGCGATGCTGATTGTCTAGCGCGCGGCGCCGGTGCTGCAGGGGTACGGGATGACGGAGGCCGGGCCCGTGCTGTCCATGTGCCCGGCGTTCGCCAAGGAGCCGACGCCCGCCAAGCCGGGGTCGTGCGGCACGGTGGTGCGCAACGCGGAGCTCAAGGTGGTGGACCCCGACACGGGCCTCTCCCTCGGCCGCAACCTCCCCGGCGAGATCTGCATCCGGGGCCCGCAGATCATGAAAGGTAATTAACCGCGCGTGACGCGCGTACGGTGCACGAGTGACCGGTCACTGATGGATGGACGGGCGCGTCCGTGTGGTGTGGCGCAGGGTACCTGAACGACCCGGAGGCCACCTCGAGGACGATCGACGTCGACGGCTGGCTCCACACCGGCGACATCGGCTACGTCGACGACGACGACGAGGTCTTCATCGTCGACCGCGTCAAGGAGCTCATCAAGTTCAAGGGCTTCCAGGTAACACCGCGCTGGTAACTCTTTCAGGCTTTTGCCTTCAAGTTTTCTGAGAGCCGTAGCTGTCACGCCCGTGCAGGTACCACCGGCCGAGCTCGAGGCTCTGCTCATCGCCCACCCATCCATCGCCGACGCAGCCGTCGTCCCGTAAGACCAATCAGCTGCTTCGGAACCACCAAACACCGCAGGAAATTTGCTCGTTCTGAGTGTGTATGTGCATGGCAGGCAAAGGGATGACGCCGCCGGCGAGGTCCCTGTCGCCTTCGTGGTCCGCGCCGCCGACTCCGACATCGCGGAGGATGCCATCAAGGAGTTCATCTCCAAGCAGGTACTCAGTCACGCCGCCTTGGTTGCTAATGGTTTTTCAACGCTAGCCCGGCTCTTTTTCTGACATGACAGTTCTTGTGTGCGCGCGTGCGCCGCGCCGCGCCGATTTTCAGGTGGTATTCTACAAAAGGCTACACAAGGTGTACTTCACCCCCTCCATCCCCAAGTCGGCGTCCGGGAAGATCCTGAGGAGAGAGCTGCGCGCCAAGCTCGCGGCGGCCGCGACCGCTTGAGAACTTTGAGACTCAGACCCCATGCCTTGCTACGTGCAATTCATTTGGTAGTGCCATTTTGTGCCAATTCAGTGTATGTGTACGACCGTGAAACATGAAGTGCCGAGATTGCAACTTGTAAGATGCATCAATATGCTTTGTATGCGAATGCTTCCTCAGTTGAGGTCTTGAGGACCACCATTTATTTGTATCATGATTTTATTTCAACAAGACTCTGTGATTTTGACCTCACAATATCTCCCAGTTCACAGCGATGGCATATTGATTATTTGTGTCATGATTTTATTTCAACAAGACTGGGTGATTTTGACCTCACAATGTCCCAGTTCACAGCGCTGGCATATTGAGACCAGAGTGATATGCGGCATTACAAGAGAACTGCTCGATTAGCCAAAGCATAAGATATAAGATATGAACTTGAAAAAAGGTTACTGTACCGAAGAACAAAGATTCAGCCACACTAGAAATTCCCCCCAGTTGAGGCATAATCCACAATCCAATACATTCATGATCATTGGGACTCATCCATGAAACAAGATTGAGAAAGTGCAGCAACTTAACTGAACAAACCGAAAGGGGCAGGTATGAATCGTATGCGAATAAACAATCGATTCAAATCCTAAGGAATCTTCAATCTACCGAGTGGGTACAGCACCAGAAAATAGCAAGTACTGGCTGCGATTATGGAGGTGTATTTAAAAGCTGATCAGGTCATCCTTCTTCGGATCTGGCTTTTTCGGCCCTTCCTGGGAGGAGCTGCTACCTCCCTTCTTGCCAAATATCATCTCATCGAGATCATCAAGATATCATCATCTCCACCTGACCTTGCTCTCGCGGCAGCTGGTTTTCTAACAAGGGCGTCTTCATTGCCGATAGCAGTCGAATCTTCATGTTCTGTGGCAATCGGTATGACAACTGGTCTCTGTTCTGCATGCTCCGAGGCCCTGGGCTGCTTCATCTCCTCGTACTTCGATAACACTTTCTGGATCTCATCGTTCACGCTCAAGGCCTCAAAGAGCACAGCTTCGTTGTCTCCAACGGTCTCAATAATCCTCTGGATAGTGTGTTGAGATTGGTAGCATTGTTGCACAAGAGTGGCTGTCAAGTCATCCTGTTGTGATAACAAAAGTAGTCAAACAAGAATCTTTAGATAGTTTGATTTGTGCTAGTTCAACAAACAACATGCCTATTAAAGTTTTCATTTAGCGAGAAAACAGTTGGCTTTAATAAAGGATGTTATAGAACAGTGCAAAACAATACTACTTCAGGATGGAAACAACAGAAAAGGTGTGAATAATTGAAATATATACCCTAATCCAACAAAGAGCTGCAGTAGCTATAACTTCAGGATGCAGTGGATGTAATTGTTAACAGGGAAAGCAGTTAGCCAACTATGCTCAACAAAACATGGAGTACTTTTTCAATCATTCTGATTCCTAAGCAACTGTATAGAGCATGCACTATATTAAGTTAACAATCAACATGAACAGCAAAATGTTTTCACTACATGCAATGAAGTAGTCTATCACTTTATCACCATAAATGCGGCACGATAAGCAAAATACATCCACCTGCCCTAAGTATGTTTCATCAGCAACATGACACAATAAGCAGTATCTTTTACTGCAAAAGATCCATAAAGGAAATCTCATGTGTGAAAATAGCTAATCACATCATGATGGTTGAGAACTTGACAAACAGAGTAAGAGAAAAGTTAAATGAAATTGGGACACAGTACCTGCAAAGCATCCTGTTCGGGGGAAGACGAAAGAACAGTTGAAAGAAGTTCTACACTGTTACGAGCTACATCAAATGCTTCTTTTGTTTCTTCAGCAGTATATGTATGAACATGGACGTCTTCGAATGCCTGCTGGGGCAAGCTTGCGTCAACATCAGCTTCGGCAACTGATCGTGGGGGAGTAAATATGGGAGCCAAGCTCTCATTGTCACGTCCAGGAAACCGCACTCCTCTTGATTTCAAGCTCTATACATGGAAATGACCATGTTATACAGTGTTAACTTATGGACCTTGGTTACTAAAGTACAAAAACATTCTGTGCAAGGATAAATCATATTGATCTTCTGCAGCACTACCCCATTGTATTTTACAATATAAGATATGATATCACAGGCACTTCCATTAATCAGAAGAAGTAATGTGCAAAGACATTAATTAGACATTGTGTGGATGTCTAAAATAATCAACAAGAGATAATGTATTTCCATCAAATGTCATATCAAAACAACCAGTAAATTATTATGAATAATAAATCCAGAACTATAGGAATAATACAAGCGCTGCCTAAGGCGCTCATTATAAGTACTTGGTGAGCTCGGCTGGTTGCACAAAAATATAACCATAAAAATGTAAGTAAACTATTAAGTACAAAAGCATAACTATGTAAAACATAAATAGCTCAGTGATTGCACTAAAGCAGCCTTACTTCAGCATGTCGCTCCTAAATCAGATTGTTCCCTATAATTGCATCATGGAACAACACAGATTATTGTACTTTTATCTTTCGGCATGAACTAGTAGAAGAAAAATAAACCAGTGCAGTGTGGTAGTATGAGTTAACTGGAACAAGACACAAGTTGTGCAGTTGGTTTGGTTGAAGTTGCAAACCTTGTATGTTTCCTCATAGACTGGCAGATAGCGGAGTTCATCACCAGACTCCCCCCATGCTTCAATCAGCATAAGGGCCTTGTTCCTGTTATTCACCACGGTCTGAGGGTCATCAATCAACCTGACCATCTCATCAAGAACACGCTCGGCCGCAACCTCTGAGAAGGCCTTCTCACAGTTCTTCACAATAGTCTCAAGCAGGACCAAGGAGAGGTACTGGACCCTCGCATCCTTCAGCATGATCCTCTTCTTGATCCCACGTATAAGCTCCACACTGTTAACCTTCTCTGTGTTGATCAAGTCGCAAATCTCCAAGTTTGAGTTCCAATCAGGCCCGTCCAGATTCTCCGAGGTGGCGTCCTCAACAATCTTGTCAGCCGGAGTCTGCCCCTGGAACAACTCCTTCATCTTGAAACTCATGGAGCTCATTCCGGCCGTCATCTTCTTGCTGACCTCCGTCCCGGTGATCTTCAGGCGCTCACCAAAGGCGCTAACCTTGTCCATCAGGTTGTCACTCATTTTCGCTGCAGAAACCCCGAATTAGTCGAGAAAATGGGCATGTCGCAGTTCGATGACACATTTACGTGATGAAAATCTCATGGCAAACTTCAAGCGGGCGTTGAAAACCCCGAATTCTGCAAACTAAATTGCACAACCCCGAATTCTGGAAACTAAACTGCACCTTGGGTAGACTAATGTTGCGAGCTAAGGAAGAAAAACCTACTTACACCGTCTACATAGTTTCGATTAGTGAATCCGCAAAGCCAAACGAACTCCTAGGAGATCCCGTCCAAGCAGGCTAGGGTTTACTCACCACCACCAACAGAATCTAAAATAAGAGTTGATCCAAGCCGATCTCCACCCCACGGCAGTCCAGCACTAGTAGAGGGCGACGGTGAGGAAGACGCCGGTGGAAGGAGCCCTGCCGTTCAGCGGCGGCGGAAGAGACAGCAGGAGATGAAACGGGTTATGAGAGGGAAATTGGGGGAAACGGCAGGGGAAGATCAGGATACTGGACACGGAATTTTGGGGAGGGAAGCAGGAGAAGCGGATTAGGAACAGGGGTTGAGGGGCGTAGCAGGCCTACCTCCGCGACGGAACTGACGAACGGAATAATCCAACAAGAGCGGCTTGTCTGACCCGTGGATTCCTCTTTCCGCGTCGTTGCTTCCCGGTGAGTTCTCCTGCGGTGCCTTGCAGTTGCGGTCTCTTTTCTGCCACTCCGGTTATTGCTTCTAGACCAACCATAAACCCCGTTCCTCCCCGTCCTTTTCAATATAACTGTATAATACTACGCTATTTCTGAAAATATTATTTTCCCCGATCGAGCAGTTATTTTTTTATGATATGTGTGTAATTATATATAATCATAAAAAATGAGTAGGAAACTCAAATTCCTTGTTGAACTTGCTCAAGCGGAGATAAGACAGTTTTAATAGGTGAACTTATGAATTCAAGCTGAATGCTTCGCCAAATACTGCTCTTTCAATGGCTGATACAATATTTAGTTGTTTACCGGAGGCTCCGACTTTGGCAGCACGGAGAAGCATAAGCAGGGTCAACGGCGCAAGGCGTACACAGACGTACTCACGACGTCAGAAAGGTGCCGTGTACCGACCACCACACCACCGCCAAACATCACGACGCGCGGGGGCAGGCAGGCCGGTCGGCAGGCCGGCCAAACAAGCCAAGCGAACAGGGCGAATATCACAACAGCTCCGGCTTAAAAGAATTCACACATGGCGCCACGGACAACCCATAAGCACCAAACTTTATGGTCGCACTGCTTTAATCCTGCAATCAACAACTGGGGATGGAAGCTGCCACACAGCACCCGGATAAGCGAAGCTACTCGTGCTAGCACAAATGACATCCTGCCAAAATAGGTTACAGATGGCAGCGCTATATACATGACGAATATCTGATCTGATAAGTTAATGCAACAGTTTACTCTTTTACCCAATTTTCTGCGTGACATCAACAGATTCACATACGAGCATACCGAAAGTCTAGCTTGAAATAGCAGTTACAAGCAAGACACAGTACAGACACAACTCCAGCAGAATATTCATAGTTGATGGCGCACGGGCACCCAGTGATGCTTCAACTTGCTTTTTCTCAGACATCTATCTCAAGACGGCCATAGCCTACTACACTACGGTCTGGAATTTTTCGTAGATTGCTGCATGAGGTACCTGTAAACAGACATTTCAGATTCATGATGCTAACATAGAGTGTCATATACGGGCATTAAGAATCAAGTGTCATATACTGAATATTAAATGATAGAATTACAGGTGCAATTCAGTTTTCTAAACCTGGACTTTACGAGTTGGGATGTTCCAAACCAATTTAGGCAAATCAGTCAATTCAA